ACGTGTAATAGCATCTGAAAGACTACAATTCTTTCTTTGTACCATATTTTTTATTTCGAGAGAGAAAATGGGAAGAGGGAGAGTGGAGTTGAAGAGGATAGAGAACAAGATCAATAGGCAAGTGACGTTTGCAAAGAGAAGGAATGGGCTTTTGAAGAAAGCATATGAGCTTTCCGTGCTTTGTGATGCTGAGGTTGCTCTCATCATCTTCTCTAATAGAGGAAAGCTCTATGAGTTTTGTAGTAGTTCCAGGTACTTTTTTTCTTTTTTTGGGGGAGGGATTTTCAGATTACAAAACTGGATACAAGTACTTAATGACCGTGTGGTTGCAGCATGCTTAGGACACTGGAGAGGTACCAAAAGTGTAACTATGGAGCACCAGAACCTAATGTGCCTTCAAGAGAGGCCTTAGCAGTTGTACCCGGCCCCTTTCTCTTAATCTCTTCTTCTAACATTAATGGAGTTTTGCTTTGATGATTGATCATGATTCCATTAATTGTGTGGCACGCAGGAACTTAGTAGCCAGCAGGAGTATCTCAAGCTTAAGGAGCGTTACGACGCCTTACAGAGAACCCAAAGGTGACTTAACTAGTAGTACTACACATTTAATCAGAGCGTGGAAATTAATTTATTGATGATTTTGTTTGTTTGGTCTTGAAATAGAAATCTACTTGGAGAAGATCTTGGACCTCTTAGTACAAAAGAGCTTGAGTCACTTGAGAGACAGCTTGATTCTTCCTTGAAGCAGATCAGAGGTCTCCGTGTAAGTACTACTCATCTAGCACTATGTATATACATATGAGGTCAAAATTAATACAAATTTGGGTAATTCTGTAGACACAGTTCATGCTCGACCAGCTCAACGATCTTCAGAGTAAGGTAAAACCAAGAAAAAGAAAAAAAGCAAATAATGACACACTAATTGAATACTCTCACTTTAATTATTTCCTTGTAATATTTTTGGATCAGGAGCGCATGCTAACTGAGACAAATAAAACTCTAAGGCTAAGGGTAATTAATATATTTTCATGATCATTAGAATCAAATGCATGCATTAGTGTAATTGTTTTTTGTTATAAGTAATAACAAGTGTGTACGTACATGGCAGTTAGCTGATGGGTATCAGATGCCACTCGGACTGAACCCGAACCAAGAAGATGTTGATCACTACGCTCGTCATCAACATCAACAACACTCCCAAGCTTTCTTCCAGCCTTTGGAATGTGAACCAATTCTTCAGATCGGGTAACTAATTTTTACCAATTTTGATTCATCTATGTATATATATATTTACCAATCTTATATAGAAAATTTTGGTATTGTTGATATGGAGTAGATATCAGACGCAGCAAGACGGAATGGGAGCAGGACCAAGTGTGAATAATTACATGTTGGGTTGGTTACCTTATGACACCAACTCTATTTGAAACTTTCAAATTTACTTCTTCTTTTTTGACATTTTCATTAAACTCTCCTCCACTCTTAGTCTACATGATTGATCACCTTCTCTCTTATCTCTCTCTTTGTGTGCATCTGTGTGGTGTAATCTCTATGTTTATGCCCATTCTCTATATCAGTAATTTTTTTTCACAATAAGCACCAACGACTCGCAAAACTGTTAAATTCATTTATTTCTACAGTGAACCGATTGTTGAAGAGCGAATACAGTTACTCTCTTCTTCTTGACATGCATAGCAAATATATGTACAACTCTAAACCTTAAATTCTGATTTTGCCGCTATATAGCATTTATTTAGTAAAATAGAGGTACTAAGTTTTTTCCAACTTCCCATGGATATATTAATTTAGTATACATATTTTATTTCAAACTCTCTCGTATTTTTCTCGTAGAGAATATTGTCATGTTAAAATTCTAATAGACAAGGATAATTTAGCTATGTATGGATTTTTAAGTGAACTGAATAGAAAAAGGTTAAAATGCATGGTTTTTGTTTGTTTGTCAACAACATACAATGTGAGGTTTGAATCTATATGGAGAATGGTAATGTCGTTGACGACACCAACATAAATTACTAAGCTATATATTCTGATTAAATTTTTTATCTTAAACTTAGTTGATAGCTAATGAATTGATCAATGATTTTTGTTGGTGTTTGGATCCAAGGAGAATGGTAATGTAGTTAACTGCACAATAGTGAATTCCTTTGACAAAAAAAAAATAGAGACTAAACTGATCGTAACAAACGAAGGCATTATTTAAAAAATTAAAGTTGAACTTTTTTTTTTAAGTAATCTTTTATATATTAAAAGAGAAACATTCTAAATTACTTTTGTTTAGGTGTCACATTCTATGAAAGTAAGTAAAAAATATTCAATTTAGCTTACCTTAATTAACAAATTGCTATATCATTCCTTATATGTGATTAGAGATTTCTATATTGGGGGAACAATGTTGCCAACAGGTTGTTGGAAAGCAACACATACTTTATACGATCTAAAGCTTTAGCTTTGATTATATCTTGTGCATGTTTCTCCTCGTTGCAAAGGTGATAACAAATTCGTTGATTTTAATCTATTGGATATGAAAAAATGAGACAGTGTAATGCAATTGTAACTTTTGGATTTGATATTTGTCCTAAAATAGATCTTAACAACATATTTAAAAAGAAATATGATATAGAATTAATATCTAAAATTATATATCGATGACTAATCTACATGACAAATTTATTGAGTTGGTATTAGTCGATCTTACCGATGAAAAGTTTAAAACTTGAAAAAAATACAATTAATATGTAAAATATTTTCAATTAATTTTAAAATTAAATTAACGGTTATAATTAAACCCGTAACCGGTAGCGATTTATTTTATTGAAATGTTTAGTTTTAAAAAAAAAAAACAAGAATATATTTCGAAATAAGTTAACTCTCAAAAGTTGACCCAAAAAAAAAAAAAGTTAACTATCAAAAGTTCAAAACCATTATTTGAGATGGGCCGGTCCAATGATAGGTTTTCTTCGTCTAAAAGATATTGGGCCGGATACCAAAATCTAATGAAAAGATATTAGACTTCTTTACACTAGTTGAATAATGCAACTTATTTCCAAAATCAATTCGCGGAATCCACCATGACGTTTGTTAATGA